GAATGATCAACAATAAAGTTTTTCTCACATTAAAAGCCTTAAATCAATTCGTTTTTTGTCCGGAATCGAATCGCTGGGATTATTAATCGATTATCCGCTTATCCAAGTGTTTCAAATTAGTTCATAGGTTAGTTCAGGTAAGCAGTACGTTTTTGTTATCTATCACGATCAAATCGGGTTATGCATTGCTTCTTTTAACTTACAAGTAGTTTCCCATCTTCAAGAAGTCGGCTGACGGCGAATTTATGCCGGATACCCAGCTCGAACGGCCCCTGGAGAGATGCTCGGCAATTACCCTCTTCGCGGGAGGAGATCAAAGCTTGATTCAGCTTCTTCCGAAGCTCAATCTTGCCAATCTCACACTCCCTCTTGGGCGCTGCTGCCTGCTTGTCCCCCCCCCTCTCTGGGGAGCGATGCGTTGGGTTGAAAACAGCCCAAACTGTCAGAAGAGGCCGTCGTCCGCTCCGCACAGATCGCAGAACGCGTCAATGCACCATCTTAGCTCGACCGGAAGCCCCAAATTCAATAAAGCTTTTGAACTTTCGGCAGCTATATAAAAAGGGGGATTCTAGCAGATGTCACCATACTTGCAATTGTAATATGAACAGCTTTACAAAATACAGTAATTATCAACCTTTAGGTAGGTTTGCATAAGAATAATTGATCTTGGAAAAACTGAGTGTGCTACTAATGTTGTTTGGAAATCAGTACTCATTTTCTGAAGATGTTACATCATTATAAAACACATTGGTGACAAGCACATGATGAATGACACAGAATTTCTTCTCAATATATATATAGCTTTTACAGGGGCTTGTAGTAGTTTCTAATATTTAATTTGCATCCTTAAAATAGTGTAATGCACTAAAAATGTACTAGATTTTGAAGCATAAGAACATAAGAGACGCCAATGTTGGATCAGGCCAAAGGCCCATCCAGTCCAACACTCTGTATCACACAGTGGCCAGAAATACCAGTGCCATCAGGAGGTCCACCAGTGGGGCCAGGACATTAGAAGCCCTCCCACTGTTGACCCCCCCCAAGCACCAAGAAGACAGAGCATCACTTGCCCCAGAGTCCCTATCTATACATTGTGGCTAATAGCCACTGATGGACCTCTGCTCCATATGCTTATCTAATTCCCTTTTGAAGCACCTGAAAGAATAATTAGATCTTTACTCACCCAAGTGACTGAACACCATTTCTATAAGACTTGATAAAATAATGTTTTCTTCCTTGTCTGGTAACATCAACCCAGCCACCATCATTGTCTAATATGCCATAATGCACTGCAGCTCTGCAAATGCTTGATTGCTAGTAAAAAAACCACAACACAACAACAGAAATTAACATCAATTCAAAAGTATTTCTCCATTAAATATCTAAAGAGAGAGAATAGTGCTATTCCCAAAATTAGGGTGTAGACTTTCCAATTTCCCGTGGGGCTGGGGCTGGGCCAGAGGCATTGCTGTGCTAGGAGCAAGGGTGGCTCCCGGGGGAGGCTGAGCACCTTCCTGAAAATTTCGGCGGGGGCTGAAGCCCCGCCGCCCCCACGAAGATTACGCCCGTTGGCTCATCTCTGGAATATAGGCTGGCTTCTTGCGACTCAGGCTCTGGTACAGCTTGTTCATTGTTGAAAACCCCCCCCATGGGCCCTGGTGAAGTGGGGCTCAGGCAATGCGTCCACTGGCTTGGCATCCACTAGCAGTGCAGAGCCCAGCCTGATGTGTGGTGTGCTGCCCTTCCCCAAGACCCCTAAGCCATTTTAATTTTAATGCTGATAGAGGGAGTTAACAAGTTATGCCAATCTGACTATATTTGTGAATTCGACTTAGAATAATAAACACTGAGGGAAGTCTGGTATAGATATATAAACCAAATATATCTTCACAAATTTCTGTCAAATTTCATTAGAAAACCGTTGTTTACAAAATGTTTTGCCAAAGACACCACACATTACCTGAACTTTCTAGCAAAATTTTTTATCAAATAGCACTACTTCAAATATGAATTACAATATTTGTACCATGTCATAATGCACACTTCCAACAACTTTGGCACTGCTATCCAAGCAGCCAGCAGGACACTCATACCTACAGAATCAAAACAGAAATTGATCTAAGAATCTATGATGAAAAGAATATTAATATTTAAATAAAATTCCCACGGTGTCAGGGATTCTAAGATAAACTGAGCAGTCTATCCTACCTGTTGCAAGTTGTTCCTTTGCACTGGTCTCTTAACCGTACTTCACAGGAAACAATCTGAGCTGTCAAAAAATTGGCCAAAGTTATTGCATCATTTCAGGTTTGGGATCAAGTTAGAAAATAAAACAAATGTTTAAAATGAAATAGTCTTACACATTTGTTGGGTGCTTATGACTTCATTTCTCTCACTGTCATCAGAGACAGATGCATGTGATCTTAATTGATTCTGTGAGGTATCCTGAACATGCGTCTGCTGCCGTTCAATCTCATTGGTTTCCATCTCTGGAGAGTAAAGCCTTTCTGAATCTTCTATTACAGAAAACAAATGAAACAAATAATACTCCTCTCAACAGGCTTGTTGAGTTTTTGAAAGTCAAAATGGCAACCATAGCATCTAAAATTTAGCACATAGGTCCCATTGTGTTAACTCTCCTTGTTAAATCAATGGTATTTTATAATGCTTAATTTCGTAATAAGTTCGTAATGAAAATCGCCTGATTCATGGCTCATGAGCCGTGGTTCATGAGATCACATCTACCATGAACCTCCCACGAACCAGCATACTTTTAATGGATGTTTGTGTGGTTCATGTCAGCGGTTCATAAGGCAGACATGCCAGTGCTGCTGATCAATTAATTGTCAAAGCAATGGGGGGGGATGGATTTCTGCAGTCCTTCTGCAGCCCTGGAAACACCAATACTGGCCCTCCAAAGCAAAACAGGCAGCACTGGCTGCCAACAAGAGAGCTCCCATTCTGCTCTATAGGCGGAGAAAGAGAGTTAGAGAAGAATGGGAACTGGAAGTTTGGTACCTGCTTACTCAGGGCTCTGAGCCACCACCTGTCCCTTTACTAAAGCCAAGCAGAGGGGCTCAGCCAGTGGGTCCCTCAGCTGAGGACCAACACACTCCCCCTCAATGGAATTTTTGAATACCTGTCCCCCGCTGGGACGGTGTCTGATGGGCTCAGAGCTCTGAGCCACCACCTGTCCCTCTGCTCAAGCCAAGCAGAGGGGCTCAGCCAGTAGGTGCCTCCTGCCTAATTGTCAACATCCCTCTGTGCCATGAGGGTGAGAGTGGGGAACAGAGGTGCTCATTGTGAGGGGGGAAAGTCCACTCTCCCCATCCCACAGGCCCCCATCCCTGTAGAACAAGCCCATCCTGCCAGCTCCCTGGTGCCCAGCTGTACGGGGGTGTCACCAGGGGTCTCAGAGGCAGAGCCTCTTTTGCCCAACATGTCCTTGGGGATGGACTCAGAGGCAGAAGAGCTATTAGCTCTATCAAAACCACAGCACTTGCTAAAACTGTTTGCAAAGGAGGAATCTCAGACTGGTGAATTAGGGGTGGGGAAACATACAGCCCCACCACATCCCAACTTTTGGGGGCTGCTCCCACCTCGAGTCCACTCCTTCATCAATCCTCCCAGTCCACCACCAGAATGCAGCAGCTAGGCCTTCCATCTGCCCCAGTTTTGGGTCCCCACTTCTAGTCCATGGTTTGGGAACATTTCTGAACATTTCCACCTTCCGAGCCTGAGGGGAAGGGTTGTCCACCCCCAGAATCCATCTCCACCATGAGGAAGCAGGCAGGTGACCACCTCCCAGGCCTAAAGGGGAGTGTGGGAGGCCACCCCCCAAAACTTAGTCACCAAAATGGGTGACCACCTCCTGGGCCCGAGGACAAGGCTTGCCCATCTGCAGTAGCAATGTCTACGAGGAGAGGGTGGGCAGTAATCACCCCACCCAGCCAATTCTCACCAAACATGGAGGGTTGTAGAGGGGCATCCCAGGGAGGTCTGTTAGATGCCTCTAGCTTGTGGGGGGGGGGGGCTGACACACTTCTCCTGAACCTACAACTGTTATTTTCCCAGAGAGTACTTTCCTGGGGGCACCTTTTTTGTGGTGCCGCTACTTGCCCCCCCACCCAACCAATCTTCACCAAACTTGGAAGGCCAGGTAAAAGAGAGTCAGCTGGAGACTGGGTGCAAGTTTGGCATTTCTAGCCCATGAGGGGGTGTTCTACCATATCACAAACCTCACAAAACAAACTAGTTTGGTAAATGGGAAAGTTTGTGAGACCCCACAAACTGGGACAAACCTCCATTTTCCCGGCTCGTGCCCATCCCTATTCAGAAGCTTCTGAATTGTTATAAACATGTTGTTTGATTGTTTAATTGCAGAAATTCTTCTGTTGTGTTTCAAATTTTATTTACGGAAGTTTTAACTACAAACTGCTAAAAATAAGGAATTAGAAGTCAGAATACAAAGGTGCTTCACAAAACAATGCATTCCTG